TTTTGTTGCATCTACTTTTGTGTTCTTGGTCATGAACTCTTTACTTAAGCCAATGTTTAGAAGAGTTTTTCTGATGTTATCTTCTAGAATTTTTATGGGTTCAGTTCTTAGATTTAAGTAAGTCTTTAATGTTGAGTTGATTTTTATATAAGGTGAGAGATGAGGATCTAGTTTCATTCTTCTACATGTGGCTTGCCAATTATCCCAGCACCTTTTGTTGAATAGGGTGCCCTTTCTCTGTGTTGTGTTTCTGTTTGCTTTGTTGAAGATAAGTTGGCTGTAAATATTTGGCTTTATTTCTGGGTTCTCTATTCTGTTCCTTTTGTCTGGCTGTAAATATTTGGCTTTATTTCTGGGTTCTCTATTCTGTTCCTTTTGTCTATGTGCCTGTTTTTATGCCAGTACCAGGCTGTTTTGGTAACTGTAGCCTTGTTTTATAGTTTGAAGTTAGGTAATATGATGCCTGCATATATGTTCTTTTTGCTTAGTCATGCTTTGGCTGTGTGGGCTCTCTTTTGGTTCTATATGATTTAGGTTTGTTTGTCTGTTTGTTTTTTTGGTTCTGTGAAGAATGATGATGGTACTTTGACGGGAATTGCATTGAATCTGTAGATTGCATTTGGCAATATGGTTTTTTTTTCACGATACTGATTCTACCAATCCATGAGGCATGGAATGTGTTTCCATCTGTTTGTGTTATATATGATTTCTTTTAGCAGTGTTTTATAGTTTTCCTTGTAGAGATCTTTCTCCCCCTTGGTTAGGTATATTCCTAATTATTTATTTATATTTTTTGCAGCTGTTGTAAAAGGGATTGAGTTTTTAACTTTTATTTTCAGCTTAGTCATTGTTGGTCTATAGCAGTAGTACTGGTTTGTGTACATTGATTTTGTATCCTGAAACTTTACTGAGAATTTGTTTATCAGATTTAGGAGCTTTTTGATGAGCCTTAGGGTTTTCTAGGTATATGATCATATTATGTGTGACAGTTAGACTTCCTCTGTACTGATTTGGATGCCATTAATTTCTTACCTGATTGTTCTGGCTAAGACTTACAGTACTACATTGAATAGAAGTGGTGAAAGTAGGCATCTTTGTTTTGTCCCAGTTATCAGGGGGAATGCTTTCAACTTTCCCCTGTTCAGTATACTGTTAGCTGTGGGTTTGCCATAGATGGCTTTTACTACCTTGAGGTATGTCCCTTCTATGCTGATTTTACTGAGGATTTTAATCATAAAGAGATGCTGGATTTTGTCAAATGCTTTTTCTGTGTCTATTGAAATGATTATATGATTTTTGTTTTTAATTCTGCTTATGTAATGTATCGTATTTACTGATCCTGCATCCCTGCTATGAAACCCACTTGATCATGATAGTACTGTTCTTCCGCCCTTTATGTCTTTTTTAAACTGTTGTTTCTTTGAAGTCTGGTTTGTCTGATATAAGAATAGCTGCTCCTACGAGGGGCATGGTGGTTCACACCTATAATCCCAGCACTTTGGGAGGCAGTGGTGGGTGGATCACTTGAGGTCAGGAGTTTGAGACTAGCCTGGTCAACATGGTGAAACCCTGTCTCTACCAAAATACAAAAATTAGCCAGGTGTGGTGGCAGGCCCCTGTAATTCCAGCTACTCGGGAGGCCGAGACAGGAGAATCACTTGAACCCAGGAGATGGAGGTTGCAGTGAGCCGAGATTGTGCCACTGTACTCCAGCCTGGGTGATGAAGTGGGACTCTGTCTCAAAAAAAAAAAAAAAAAAAAAAAAAAGAATTACTCCTTCCGCTTGCTTTTGGCTTTCATTTTCATGGAATATGTTTTTCCATCTCTTTAAGTTTATATGAGTTTTTATGTGTTAGATGAGTCTCTTGAAAACAGCAAATATTTGGTTCGTAGATTTTTATCCACTTTTTCCATTCTCTATCTTTTAAGTGGAGTATTTAGGCCATTTATTTTCAACGTTAGTATTGAGATGTGAGGTACTGTTCTTTTCATCATGCTAGTTGTTGCCTTAATCCCTTAGCTCTTGAGATTTTTCCTTCATCTTGACTTTAGGTAACCTGATGACTATGTGCCTAAGCAATCTTTTTGTGATTAATTTCTTAAGTGTTCTTGAGCTCTTGTATTTGGATGTCTAGATCTCTAGCAAGGCTGGGGAAGTTTTCCTTGTTTATTGCCTCAATATATTTTCCAAACTTTTAGATTTCTCTTCTTCCTCAGGAACACCAATTATTCTTAGGTTTGGATTTTTAACATAGTCCCAACCTTCATGGAGGCTTTATTTATTTTTTTAAAGTTATTTTTCTTTATATTGATGGATTGGGTTAATTTGAAAGCCTTGTATTCTGTCTCTGAAGTTCTTTCTTCTGCATGTGTGATTCTTTTGCTGAGACTTTCCAGTGCATTTTGCATTTCTCTGTGTCCTTGATTTCCAGAAATTGTGGTTGTTTTTATTTATGCTGTTTCACTGAAGAATTTTCCTTTCATATCCTGTAACATGCTTTTGATTTCTTTGGGTTAGACATGAGCTTTCTCTGGTGCCTCCTTGATTAGCTTAATAATTGACCTTCTAAATTCTTTCCTGGAAATTCAGAGATTTTGTCTTTGTTCAGATCCATTGTTGGTGAGCTGGTATGATTTTTTGGTGGTGTTAAAGAACCTTGTTTTGTCATATTAGCAGAATTGTTTTTCTGGTTCCTTCTCTTTTGGGTAGGCTATGTCAGAGGGAAGATCTGGGATTCAAGGGCTGCTCTTGAGATTCTTCTGTCCCATGGGGTGCTTTCTTGATGAGGTGTTCTCCCCTTTCCCCTAGGAATGGAGCTTCCTGAGAGCTGAACTTAGTGATCGTTTTTGCTCTTCTGGTCTAGTCACCAAGTGGAGCTACCGGCTTCCAGGCTAGTACTGGGGAGAGTCTATAAAGAGTCCTATGATATGATTCATTTTCAGGTCTTGCAGCTGTGGATACCAGGACCTGTCTGGTGGAGGCAGCTGGGGAGTGAAGTGGACTCTGAGGGTCCTTGGTTGTGTTTTCTTTTAGTGTGCTGGTATTATGTTGGTTGGTCTTTAGCTGGGAGGTGGCGCTTTCAAGAGCTCATCAGTTTGGGTGCTATAGGAAGGATGCAAACTTGCCCTAGAGATTCCTGGTCAAGTATTCGGGTTTCTCAGGCAGTGGGCAGAGCCATCGAGCTCCCAAGATTATGACCTTTGTCTTTGGCTACCAGGGCAGATAGAGAAAGACTACCAGGTTGGGGCAGGAATAGGTGTGTCTGAGCCTCTCCTTGGGCGGGCTTGCTGCTGGTGCTGCTGTTCGGGATGGGGTTGTGGTTTCCAGTCCAATTCCCAGGGAGATTATAGCTGCCTCTGCTGAGTCATACAGGTCACTAGGGAAGTGAGGGAGAGCTGGCAATCATAGGCCTTACCTTGCTCCCATGCAGCCCGCAGTCCTAAAAGCTGGTCTCACTCCCACCATGCCTCCTCAGCATCACCGAATCTTTTTCCAGGCAGCTGGTTACTAGGGTGGAGAACTTGCCCCAGACCACAAACCTCCGCCTTGAGAAAGCAAACAGACTCATAGTTTTTAGGCATCTCAGCGAACCTGCAGTGGTGATCCAGTTTCTTCAAAGGGTCTGTGGATTCTCTGGGCTTCCCCGGTATGTTGCTGTGGTAGTTCTTGTAGCAAAAGTTCATGATGTGAGTCTCCACATGCTGCTCTGTTTGTCGGAGTGCGAGGTACAAACTAGTTCTGCCTTCTATCCACCATCTTAATCTGAGCATCTAGAGATAGTTTTGAATAACGTTTATCTACCTACAAATTTCAAGCTTGGAACGAGACAAATAGCCATAAAAACAAACACAAAAACCTAATAGCAGAACCACTCCAATGAGGACAAAGGTTTTCAAAAAGTACTTGGACTGGAAAGCCTAGATGATACTAAAACATCAAATACAATAGTATATCCGAGACCCAGTTTGTTTAAATACGGGATAACCAGATCGTTTTAACTGCTCTGACCAATCCTTATTTCTATATATATGTAGACAAAGCTAGCACTGCTATATGGTAATAACTACTGGCATACTGCCTTGTCCTTTAAAATGTATCTGCCATACTGCTCAAACTATCAAACCAAGTTTTTCCGTTACGGCTAGGAATGTCACATGTATGCAGGGATGAGAACCTTATCACACACACTCATGCTCAAATACCAGGTCTCTCAGCCCTTGGGTGTCACCTTCCAACTCCATGTTTATTTTATGCCATGCTATCTTTGTATGTGTCCTTTCACAGTTTTCCTATTATGTGAAACACAGTAAACATCTCAACACATTTGCACCTGGTTTTGATTGCTCAGTATTATTCTTGTATGCAGTGAAACCAGTAAGCAAGTACATATAATAGAAATTATACCATCTTGGTAGAAAAGAGATATAAAAACACAGATGTACAGATTTCACCAGTAATCTCAAAAAGCCACCTCTTCAGTCTCTAGCAGGAGTCTACTTGCCACATCAGATCCTTTTACCCATCACCTCTATTCTTGAACCCCAAAGCAGGGCCAGTGCTATTAGTTTTGTACCTGGTGTCCTTAAAATGAATAAGAGATTTTGTTGATCTCTTTGTCACTGCAGACAGTGTAAATATATTTGATTCTTCTTAATTTTGTTTTATGATCTCACAAGATAAAATAACCATGCCAACTATTTCAATTCTCATTGTTTCAAGATTTAAATCATTCTGGGGGAATCTTCTCCAATGTTTCACTTAGGAATGGATCAGTGAAGTCTTTCCCCTGTCACTGTTTTATAGATTTTAAATAAGGGTGTTTCAGTGGCTCTAAAACAAGTGTGTGGCTTTTGTAAAATTCCTAATCTTTCCTCCAAGTCTTTACATTTCTTAATTATGTAAAAATATTATGCTATAAAATAATTTCAGTAATTTGTAGTAAAGAAAAGTAATCTGTCTCCAATTTCTTCAGATATTTATTAACCAATATCTTCTCATTAAACGTGGAAAAATACTACTGGTCTTTGCCTTAAAGTATTTAAATGTCCAACAGTACTTTTTAAATAAATGAGATTAGAAAACATGAATTTGGTTGTTCCAGAAACTCGGTCACATTGGGAGAATACTTTTTTCCCTAAGCGATTGTTTTTTGGAGTCAATGCAAAAAGTCTTTATGGGTACAGGCCTCCGTAGTGACATTCTAATGTAATAGAATCTTTTTTGATTTCATTTGCTTAAAGATACTGCTTTAAATGTTTTAGAGAAATATTTTATCCTAAAAAGGTTAATTATCCAGGGTTGAAAAGATCTTACCTGAAAGCTTAAAAGCTTGTATCTTGACAGTAAAATCATCATTTTAGTTTCAGTATCTTAATCAAGTGGGTGTGTGGCAATTCAAGTGTTTTCATCTCTTAAGTTTCTATAGTGGATAGCTTTTGTCTCCCTTCTATTTTAACTCAAAGCTTTCTATCTGTAAAGAATCTCAGCTTAGGACTCAAAACAAGTCTGTATTGAGGATTTATTTCTGGAATTGTGTTAAACAGTTTTCCGTAGATATAGATATTTTACTTAGGAAGCTGCATCAAGTAGGTACCTTGAATACTACTCTCTTGTGACTAACTCTGCTTGTTCACAGCCTTCCCCACCCTTCCACCAAGCCCCCCTTCACTAACCTGTGCAGTCTTTGCTTTTCTGATCTCTTTTACTTCTTGTTTTTCCCCTAGTTTTGGAGTAGCTCTTAAAGTCTGACTTGTCATGGTGCTTTGGAAGAGTAGCCAGTGTCTTTTCTGGGTAAATAAGCTATGAACTGACTAAGAGGAGTAGTTAAAATTGAGAAAGCTTAGCTGTACCTTGTCTTGCATGTTAAACATAATGAGTTTAAAGGATTATGATTATTTGTAAGCATCAGGATCTGCTAGACAGGACATCTGTTTTACTTGCTACTCTTATGTTGGTGGAGAAATAGCATGCTTTTCATTCAGTATAAAAATTTTGTGTTCTAGCTGGGCAATGATGGCTTAGTTTTTGAAATGTACTTTCTTGAGAAGTAGCATGTGGTTAGTATAAAATTGTCTTTCTTATTAGGACTAGATGCATAATTAGTCTGAAATATTTCCCTGACCGTGGAAAATAAGTTGCTGTGAACTTTTGGATTTTTATTATTCTAGACTGCATTACACTTGTTTGCTATATTCAAATATTTTTTTCTTTGGTTTTACTTCCTAGGTTGCACGTTTTCAAAAAATACCTAATGGTGAAAATGAGACAATGATTCCTGTATTGACATCAAAAAAAGCAAGTGAATTACCAGTCAGTGAAGTTGCAAGCATTCTCCAAGTAAGTGGTTAGTGGGGAGGAAGGGACTAGAAGTATATAGTCAGACACTTAGATTCTATAAATCAGTGCTGTCTAATTTAATTTTCTTCAGTGATAAAAATATTCTGTTCTATGCCATTCAGCATAGTAGCCACAAGTTGAACAGAACTGTTGAGCTTGACATAGGATTAAACCTAACAGAATTAAACGTGACTATATGACTTGAAATGTGACTAGTGTGATGGAAAAACTGAATTTAATTTCATTTAAATTTATTTAAATGGTTGTAGGTGGCTAGTGGCTACCCAATTGGACAGTGCAGCTCTAGAACATAATAGCATTTTTATGAACTACATTAGTGCTGTGTAAGAATTGATTGGATTAGGAAAATAATTATTAATGTAAGTAGTGGTAGCAGTTTTATCTTTTTTTATAAGGGATTTCTAAGGTAAAGTAAAAAAATAAGTACAAGTTGAGAATTGCAGATAATCTGTAATTGTGTACGTAGGCTCTTCCTGGTTTTCAAAAGTGGATGTATCTATTGAAACATGAAAATGATAATGTTTTTTGTTTTTCCTTCTACAGTCACATATTTTAGTGATAGCATTAGAAACATGGGTATCCTTATTTATTTATTTTTTGTTATTGTATTTATACTCTGTTTTAAAACCACTTATTTGTAATATGTTTGTTTTGAAAGGCTCCATTATTGGACTCTATTATAATAAGCTTTTGGTTAGGGCAACTATTTTAGGGGTACAGATAATTTTATTCTTTAATAGAATAAGGAGGGAGAGTAACTGAAGGATATAGGTAGTGTTCATAGAACATAAACTGTCCCAAGAACGAGTTCATCTTAACTTTATTACTTTTTAGTAATTTAGGAAGCACAGATTTTCAGCATGAAACAGTTACAGAATCCAAGAGTAAAAATTAATACCAATCTCTCAGGGTTTTGATAGGCCCAGAGAACAAGGAAGGCATTTATGACCCATTGGATGTTCTTTTGGAGAAACTAATTCTAGAAAACAGCTAAACAACAATGAAAAGGAAAAAGCCAATTAAAATGTACAATTTTGTTTTCTGTAAGTCTTGTAGCTGGTTGTAGTTTTTATTTTTCTCCCTATCGCTTCTTGGCCTTTTGGCTAAGATCATGTGTATTTTTCTCCCTAAATTTTATTTGTTTGGTAAACTCTGCCTTTTTGTTTACATTTAAAAAAAAAATAATTTTGTTGAGATATAATTTACATAAAATACAATGCACTTTTTAAAAGTGTACAATTTGCATTTTGACAAATGTAACCACCTCCACCATTAAGATACAGAACATTTTTATCATCCAGAAAGCTCCCCCATGTCCCTTTGTAATTAATCCCTCCCTCTCTGTGTGTCACCCCTGGCCCCAGGCAACCACTGATAGGCTTCTCTCATAATAGACTAGCTTTGACTGTTGTATTTTCTATAAATGTGAGTATATATCGTATTATATACTTTCTTGTGTTTTTCTGTGCTAACATTTTCAATAACTTTTATGTGTAAAATCTAACAGGCTGATCTTCAGAATGGTCTAAACAAATGTGAAGTTAGCCATAGGCGAGCCTTTCATGGCTGGAATGAGTTTGATATTAGTGAAGATGAGCCACTGTGGAAGAAATATATTTCTCAGGTGAGTTACTTTTACTTCCTCTTCTACTGTGTAATTTATTAATACATTAACTTCTGTTATTTAGTTGCTTACATTGTTTATGGAGAAAGGAAATAATTTTTAGATGTTTTTTACCTAAAAATTTTCATTTGTTAGGGTTTACTGTTAGGTTGGAATTCCTATATTTTTAGTATGTAAATCATAAAGACAACATTTCCCATTGGATGTATTATGCAAAGATAATGCTGTTGACAGTAGTGTCTTTTGCTGATATCAAACCTACACTTTTTAAATGATAGGAATGCCAGTATTTTTTAAGGTAATTATGGCCTGTTCAGAAAACCAGTAAAAGTAAGTTAGGTAATTTAAACTCAGACTGCCTGGGTACAAATTACACCTTCATTTCTTATCAGTTGTATGGTCTTTATAATCCTCTGAGCCTTATCTATAAAATGGTGATGATAATCCTAGGGGAGATAGTTAGCTCTCAGTAGATGGTAGTTATTTATTTTTCTTGCTAATCTTTTAGGAAAGACTTATTCTAGGTTGTTTTTTTTTTTTATCTTTTTAATAATTATGTTAATGTAGAAAGTTACAGGTTACTGTGATTAGTTGTGAAGAAGTTGGGTTGGTTTGCTAAATAAATATTTTTTGCTAAAAATTTCTTTATCATAAATGTCTGTGCCTTTTAACCTGCAGTCTTTCTGGAAAGATCTATGTTTAACTTTTCTACAGGGCCTTTTCTGCTAATAAGCTTAAATTTGCCAGGCTTAATTTTACAAATGAGTTTGTCTAAAGTAGCAACATTGGAATTTTAAAGGTTAGATGAGGCCAGGCACAGTGGCTCATTCCTGTAATCCCAGCACTTTGAGAGGTCGAGGCAGGTGGATCACAAGGACAAGAGTTCAAGACAAGCCTGGCCAATACGGTGAAACCCTGTCTCTACTAAAAACTACAGCTGGACATGGTGGCAGGCGCCTGTAGTCCCAACTACTTGGGAGGCTGAGGCAGGAAAATTGCCTGCACCCAGAAGGTGGAGGTTGCAGTGAGTGGAGATTGCTCCGTTGCACTCCAGCCTGGGCGACAGAGAAGACTTCATCTCAGGAAAAAAAAAATATATCTGTCTTATTTTTATGGAATATTATTTATATGTGTCTTTGTATTTCACAATTAACACATTCCTGCATTACCAAAGACTTCAGAAAGTATTGACATAGTTAACTCTGGATTTATAAATTGTAATGATTTGACTTATCCTAAGCAGTATGATTTAATGTTTTACTTTTTTGATCCTGTTATCAAAGCTAGAGCACCTGTCCCTTGGGATTCCTGTAAGAATTAAACAGTGCCTGTAATGTAGTTAAGCACAACCAAACAAATAACAGTAAATAGTAATCGTTAATCATAAAGCACTGGGTGATTCTTTACTCCTGTGCAGCCTGCCATCTGTCAAGTGGTGTGCTTAGTACTGTGGCACAGCTTTTTTGGGGGAAAATGAAAAAGACCATGGGTCATGATGTTAATAGCTAACATTTTTAAGAATATTTTTTGGTTTACATGGTGGTTTAATGTACATTCTTAGTTAATCCTCATATCAGTTCTTTGGTATAAGGTTCTGTTTTACCAGATGAAGAATCTGGAGCTTAAAAAGATTAAGGTGACACACAGGTGGCAGCAGCTGGATTCAAACTGTGGTACTGAGTCAGTAAGTTTAGTGGTTGGTGCCCTGAACCATATTGCAGTTGTAGTTTTATTTTGTTAGGGCAGTTGAATGATTTTTAAAAAATCATTCTTAGAATCACTTGGGGAGTGCTTAAAAAATGCTAAAGGCTGAGCCTTATGCCTGAAGATTTTGTTTTAATTAGTTTGGTGTGAATCTGGGCATTGGTATTGTTAAAAGTTTCTTATAGGATTCTGATGTGAAGTGGAATTAGGACTTCTAGGAAATGGAACCATAAAGGGGCTTTGGAAGTGGTGGCATGTAACCTCAGAGCTATGGTATCTAAGGGTTGCAGCTTTCTGGTGGGATAGATTCTTTGTAGCCTAGTTACTTTGCAACTTTGACAGTGATGTAGCACTTTAGCAGAGGAAGAGATTCTGACATCAAAGCTTCAGGGAATAGAATGTCCAACTGGAAGAATTTGGGGTTGACTCTGGTGTGAACATTTAAATGCTTTCAGATCAGGTCGATGCAATAGTCATGTTTCTTTAGATGCGATTTTCCCTGGTAGATAGAAACCAGGAAGGCTAGCCTTGAAGAAAATCTTCACTTTCTTCTGTGGAGAGGAGGGAATTTTTTTGTGTTATGTGAGTCAACCACAGAATTGTAATCTACACCGGTATACTTATTTGAGTAATGTTTGAATGTCATTGTTCTACTTAGTGTTTAACCTAAATCTTTAGCTTAAAAATCATCTTCTCCTGCTTTTCCTAGCCTTAGTAGAAATTCAGAACAGCTATGTTTATTAAATTAATATACCAAAAATTGCTGTATGCTATAAGGAATTGGTTAATTCTTAGTTTTAAGTATTGCTATTTAATTTTCTTTTGTTTTTCTGAAAAGGAACTGTTATGAAGCTTTTAAACATAGTTAAGTATAAACACTTTTTTTGGTAATCAAAGAGGTATGTAAAATAAACCGAGTATAGATTTTTGTAATTTTCCAGTCATACCCTCATGATTTTTTTTTTAAAGCCTTTGCTGAGAGAACTGTCACGTACAAAACTGTTGAATTGCTGTTTGTTTTTACTTACAGTTTAAAAATCCCCTTATTATGCTGCTTCTGGCTTCTGCAGTCATCAGTGTTTTAATGCATCAGTTTGATGATGCCGTCAGTATCACTGTGGTAAGAAAAAAATTACATATTTTTAATCTGTTGGGATTGGTTTTTACTTTGGAAAATAAATTGAGAAATATTCTCAGATGTTTTACAATATCCAAATTTTGCTTTTATTTTATTCTTTTTATTTTTGGAGACAGTTTCTTGCTCTGTTGCCCAGGCTAGAGTGCAGTGGTGCAGTCGTGACTCACTGCAGCCCCAGACCCCTGGGCTCAAGCTGTCTTCTGCCTCAGCCTCCTGAATAGTTGGGACTACAGGCGTATGCTAACACTCCCAGCAATTTAAACATTTTTTTGGTAAAGATAGGGTCTTGTTAACGTTGCCCAGGCTGGTCTCAAAGTCCTGGTCTCAAGTGAGCCTTTCACCTAGGCTTCCCCATAGTGTTGAAATTGCAGATGTGAGCCACTGCGCCTGGCCCAGATTCTGCTTTTATTATAGTTAGTGTAAATTTGAGTGATGTTCAAAAGTCTGTGATTAGCATACATGAAAATTCTTTATCAATCTGATAATTTTCACAGATACAAAATAATTTATAATGATTATCTGATTAAATTTTAAATTTCTTTTACTTTGCAGTTGAGAACATATTTTAACTATTTTGAGAATTAAAGTCCGACTTGTGAAATTAAAAATATTCCTTACAATGCATGTTGTATTTACTGTGTACATTTATTGTATATGATTTTATTCTTTCCAGCTAGGTTATTCTAGCTTTCATTGAACTGTTTTCTCATCTTTTTCCTTCTTGCTCCCTGTTACATTGTTGTATAAAAAATTTGTATCAAGTATAAGCACTTACTAAAGCAGGTATGTTATGCTTAAGAACACAGTAGATATTAATGTAGAGTTGCAGTTCTTGAACTGTTGTTTGCAGTCTCCCAGAAATCCCTGAGACCTGTTCAAGGGGTATGTGAGGTCACAACCATTTAAATAATACGAAAACATTATTTGTCTTTTAATTATAGACTTTTGCATTAATGGCACAAAAGCAATGGTGGGTGAAACTGTTAGAGCCTTAGCACAAATCAAAGTAATGGCATCAGACCTTATTAACAGTCATTGTTTTCTTCCATGTTTCTCTGAAGTCTGTTCTTTATAAAGCAGTAAAAATTAATTTTATTAAATCTGGACCCTTGAGTACATACCTTCATAATCATTTGTGTAATGAAATGGGAAGTATGCGTAAAACCCTTTTGTATATTGAAATATGATGGTTGTCTCAAGGAAGGGTGATTTTGTGTGGCAAACTGGCTTTGTACTTCAGAGACTGATTCATGGACAAACTATGGGTGTTAGGACTTGGGTAACCAGCAGATTCTTATTTTTTAAAGTGAGTTAAATGAGCTTATCAAACCAAGGAAAGGTAACTGGCAGAATTTGTTGCTCATGTTAAAATTCAGATTTTCAAGAAATAATTAGGGTTTTGGAAAATTTGTATGCACTCCTATGGGCTGGATGGCATCCCACTATTTAAGACTGTATTCCAATTAGATCAGAAGTGATTTCAACAAATGTGTCTTTAAAAAAATTGTTATGTAATGTGTGAACCTTGGGGAAGATTTGAATAACCAAGTGAACCAATTGTTACAAAATATGTTAACTTGGGGGAAGATTTGGGGAATCTTGGGGAAAAATTGAATAACCGTCATTTCCCAGAAGACCAATGCATGAAGTTACGAAATCTGAAATGGTAAAAGATCCATTCAGATGCAAGATAGGTCAATAGATTTTAATATAATAGATTATGAAAAGTTCATTTATACAGTTTGATATTCTACATTGCAGATTACCTTTAAGTAACCAGGACTTGTTGGGTTTTGGTGTAGTAGCCAGGAAGAATATCCACAATCATCTGAAAAGTCTGTTAAAGTACTCCTCCCTTAAAAAAATAAAAAATAAAAAATACTCTTCCCTTTTCTAACTTAACTGTGTGGGGCTGGATTTTCTTAATATGCTTTAGTTTGAACAATATGTTACAAGTCAGATATTAAAATATAAAAATGTAAAACTGCCATTTTTCTAACTTTTTTTGGGAAAATTTATTTTTTATGAAATTATTTGTATTGTAATGAGGTTTAAAGTTTTTAGATGAGTTAATAAGTAGAAATTAAAACTGACTAGTTGAAAAATTAATATGGTAAATATCAGCATATATAACTCACTTAACCAAAGGCTGACCCTCAGTTTGTGGGAGCATAAAAGGGCCCTGAGATCAAAAAGTTAGAGAAGCTGTCCTGGTAGTGGCAAGCCACTGTAAACTGTTAGTTTCCTCTCCCACAGGCCTTACAGTTGTGATTTCTTCTCCAGCCGATCTCAGTGTTTAAAATCTGTTACTCTGGGTCTGCAGATAGTTGGAAAAATAAAATAGAGTTAACGGTTACTTCTCAAGTTAATGTTTGATTTAAAAGCCTTTTTCTTTCATTTAGGCAATACTTATCGTTGTTACAGTTGCCTTTGTTCAGGTAAGTATTTTATTTTGCCAACATGAACATGGCATGTTAATTGCTTAAGAATCAGGTGGTTTATGGTAAAACCTACAGTTATTGGGGGGTTGTAATGCCCATTAGAACAACTTACTCTTTGTTTTTGAAATAATTTCAAATACAGACAACTCTCCAGGGAAGCTTATGGTGGGACTAAGGAACTGCTTTGATTTAGGTAGTGAGATGAAGAAAATCTAATTTTTTATTTGGTGATGTTAAGGATAACTGAAGCAGATGGAAACAAAAAGCATAGTAATAGAAATAAAATCCAGCAGTAAGCTTTTTTATTTTTTCAATTAAAAAATTGGACCAGAGTTTATAGTTGTGTAACACTGTTATGTTTTAATACCTATTAAAGCTAAGTCTAGGTGAAACAAAAAAGTACAGAATTAAAAGATCGATCTATGATGTACCATTTGAAGAAAATTCCAGATTTCTGTGATTGATTCCCTAGCAGAATTCTGTACTTGTTTGCTGAATTTATTTCCTAACCTTGTTTTATTTGAGTCTTTTTTTTTTTTTTTTTTTTTTTTTTTTTTTTTTTTTGAGGAATTAAAATGTTTCTACTCATTGTTGGCATGGCCTCCCATCCCCTCCCTTTAAAACAATTTCCCATTCCTCCACAGAAGGGGTATTGTGATCTGGATCAAAGTTGAAATAGTAAATAAGACATATGGAAGGTAGCCCCTTTTAAAAATTACTGTGAATAATATGGAGATCATGTCAAGATTTCTATGAATAAGTGTAATCTTAGTTTTACGTTTATTTAAATATCTGAAGCTTCTGTAGATTTTAAATCAGTGTTTCAGACTATCAGGTTTCATTTTTAGTGAAAACATAGTTAACAAGAATAGAATTATTCTAGTTTAGGGAAAAATGTAATACTGTTGTATAAGCCTGAAGTTCATGCTGTTTTGAATCTGAAGCCTATACTTTGAGTACGATGGTTATTCTTAAATCTACAATTTATTAACTGGGTATTTCTTGTCACTCTCCCAGCCTCTTAGGGTAATCTGTAACCTAGTTGTTATTAGTTCTGTGGTAACCCAGTGTTGAAAGCCAGTTGGAATCAGATTATTTGCAGCAGGTTCGTGAGCTCCATTAGTAGACTATCAGGGTTCCACTTCTGGACTTTCTTGCATCTTTAAGAATGTGTCAGATGTATGGAGTGCCTCACTTTAGAAAGATTCCTACAAGTAGTATCACTGTGTATGGAAGACTGTAGTAGCTTTTTCTCTTTGATCACTAGAAAGCCCCAACTTTCAAAAAACACCACAAAATTGTAATTTTAACATATGTCAATATGAATTTTACATATGATAGTGTTGTTATACACTGTAAATGATGTGGCTAAGACTGACTACTAAATATCTTTATGATAGGTACATTTGATGGAAATCTCGCAAAAGGATGAAAACTTTATAAAAAGCCTAGTTTCAGATTGCTAGGTCTGATTCTTACACAGATGTGACCCATCACCAAATATGCCTGTGAAACCAACCAAATAGTCTATAAACAAGTAAAAGTTCTCTCCAAAAAGATCCTATTTAATGTCAGTTGAACTTACAATACTTTATCCAAAAGCTATTTATTAAAAATGTATAAAAATTCTTTATGCTTTATCATCATATGATATTTGTGCTATATTACCTGTGTCTTAAGAATGCTTTTTATATTCCTTTCTATATTTATGTCCTGCCTTTTTCCCGTGTGTCTTTGTAATCCCCATTCCCCAAACCACTGTACTTCTTCCTAGCCATAAAAATAGCTAATTGTTTTATATAGTCATAATGATGTCACCTTACAATAAATTTGAAAAATAACTTTTAGGCATTTATTAGGTTTTAGATGGTGTGTTTAATGATCATTTTGATATAGAGGTATCTTTATAGTTGTAGGGAGTAGAGGCTAAGAAACTAGAAGAGATAGGTAAAGATTGGGCAGCATCTATGTCATTTGTTACTGGGATCTAGGATTTCTGAGTATTTTCTAGCATATTACTAGAAAATCTTAGAATCAGAATTTTTGGGTAAACTTTCAAATTCCTTAATATCCTTGGTGTGTTTGGGGTGTCGTCTTACGATTTTTACATTTGTAGTTTTTCCTTATATTTGTCCCTCTAAGATTAAGTAGAGACTGATTGTGTTCTAAGTTATTCTTATATACTCTTGTGTTTTCTGTTTGAAGTTTGTGATGGATATGACATCTTGACTGGTACTAGCACTGCAGTCATTTCAAAACACTCCCAACCTTTCTACCTCCACTTTTTGCCTTTCCCTCTTTTGACCTTAGATCAGAAGATTCTTTTACTTAGTGCAGACATGAGGCAAAAAATAGCAGTGATGTGTGATGCAAGACTGCTCATGGAAATGTGGACTAAGTAGTATTGTGAGTTGAAGGATGTTTCTGGCCCTTAGCTGTTGGTTATCTGGATGGAAGAAGGCTGGAACATTGTTAAAACTCCTGATAATTTTCCCTTTTGGATACACAGGTTGATGGGAAGTGTGTCTGTCAGTATAGAGCCAGCCATATCTTCAAACTTACTTTGTAAACCATTGCTATTAGCATGGGCTTAAATCCTTAAAGAATATGTTGTTTACAGTTAATTATCTTTGACTTCTGTGGTCATTAGACACTTAACATAAAATTATCTAAATTGTAAGGCTCAATGATCTTTTAATGACTCAAATTATGTACTTTTTGGACATACTAGTCAGTTTTCATTTTTATTCTAAATAACTTTGGGTTTGTACATTGAATATTAAAATGTAAAATTGGGAATATTTAATTATCAAAATTGATCACTACAATTTAACATTTTTAAATAAGGGACAAGCTTTTCTGGGTAAGATTATAAGCACAAGTAAAGGAAAAGATAAGAATTGGGGGAAATTTTAAAATAATGGTTGAGATTAATTAAGTCTAAATCAAATATATTCATAGGAACAATATTTTACTTTTTTTTTGTTTGAATAGGAATATCGTTCAGAAAAATCTCTTGAAGAATTGAGTAAACTTGTACCACCAGAATGCCATTGGTATGATTCTTTTTTTTTGGTATGGATTTCTATCCCTTTAAAAATGGAAGTTGAATATGGCTAGTACCGTATATATTGTTGTCCCCATTTTGAACATAAGGAAGACACTATTAATCTGACGTGAAAAGTCCCTGGTCTCATTAATGTAGCAGAATTGTGCTATTGAAAACTTTAAAGTCCAAGATTCTTGAGACATGGATTTATTTAACAGATTTTGTATGTGTGTGTGCGAATATGTGCTAAGCACTGTTCTGGGTATAGTGATTTATAATCAGACTTAGATGATTCAGAAGATTGCTTCAATTTGCACATTTTACATTTGAACAAATAATCAGTTTCTCCAGTGATTTTCTGTCATCTCAATATCTTAATTGTCTAGAAACAATCTTTTTCTTGGTTCTTAAATTTCCTTTTTCTCAGATAAGCCCACTGGAAATAATTTGTTAAGATAAGTTGCATGAATTTCTTTTTTTAACCTTAGTTGTTTCTATTTCATGTTAACAGTGTGCGTGAAGGAAAATTGGAGCATACACTTGCTCGAGACTTGGTTCCAGGTGATACAGTTTGCCTTTCTGTTGGGGACAGAGTTCCTGCTGACTTACGCTTGTTTGAGGTAAGTTTGGGGATCTGATTGTAATAAGTGAAAATACTTGGATATAGATTAAAGGATAAATATGACCAGTTTTAAGGAATTAGCACATAGTTGATTTGAAACATTTGGTATTCTACTTTAAAATGTGACATATATAAACATGTTTTTTTCTTAAAACCTAGCTGTATCTACTGTACCATCTTTTGAAGTGTCTGTTTAGTGACCTGCAGATCTTTATGGAAACCTGCATGTTAGGGACTGTGGGAGATACAAAGATGATATGACAGAATTCTTGTGACTAGGGAACATATTATGTGTATACAAATCACTCAGCATAAAATAGAACTTGGTAATTGAGTAAGGGAAGTTCAAAGCATAGGGTGTAGACATGTAAAGAAGGAAGAAGTTCTACCTGATTTGAATGAGATCAGAATATGTCTCAGACAACATGGCTTTGGCAGTGATAATTGAAGAGTAGTACTGGACAAAGATGGGGAAGACATTGAAGCAATACTATTCAGATCACTATGAACATTCCAGTGTGTGATAATCTGCTGGGATTTGTTAAGGATAGAAAATGTGTGATGGAATCAGATTTTTTTATTAGGAATTACCTTGAGACTTCTATGCAGTTGGCAAATGTTACCCTTAATTTGGCTGCAGTATATAGAATAGATTGAAGAACTGGAAGATGGAGATAGGCATCTAGTTTAACAGGCTTTCATAATCCATTAATATGCAGGTCTTATCCAGTATTGGAATTAAGCTGTTTGTTAACACCTACAGAACAGTCAGTCTTGAAATGCTATGGGTGTTCTTGTCAAGGCTGTGGAAGGCCTGAAGAACCTTTTAGACTAGAATAAGAACAAACTTGGCTTAATCTTTAAGTAGAGGGCTTTTTTCAAATACTTAAAGTTTGTCTTTAGAAAGCTAATGCTTTAATTGGGTGAATAGGAATAATTGATAATATTGCAAGTGTTAGTAACTTTATAATTTTTTTCTCTTATTTGCAGGTCTTTTTAATGTTAATTCTTTCCTGCTCTTCAGTTCCTAATATTTTGTTGATGACATACCTTGAATTATTCTTCCTCAGAGATTAAGTAGTCTTGTCATTTGGCATAAATTATCTTCCCCTTCCCCCAAAAAACCCTAATTTAAATTCATGGAGTTCATGCCATTCTTTATTCTGGGGTACTTCTCTTCCAGTTGAGAAGCAGTCCTTCTCATTGGGATAATTAGAAGATGGTGTTTCCCATTTGCATGGTTTGAGAAGTATAATGATAGAAAGAAACCTCAAAACACCATTAGAATTTGGTAAACTGTTTTAGGGTTTTCATTTAAATAAGGGTTAATTGACTTGACAGTTAATTATTTCAAAGTTCACATGTAAACAGGAAAAAAAACCTGTCAGTATGGATTGGTATGTATTTTATCTACTCAGCGAATATATATTGAAGACATTGAATGTTTTGTTTTATTTTTATTTTTATTTTTATTTGTTTTTGAGATAGAATCTCGCTCTGTTGCCCAGGCTCAAGTGCAGTGGTACAGTCTTGGCTCACTGCAAACTCTGTCTCCTGGGTTCAAGCAATACTCCTGCCTCAGCCTCCGAAGTAGCTGGGATTACAGATGTCCGCCACCATGCCCAGCTAATTTTTTGGTGTTTTTAGTAGAGATAGGGTTTTGCCATGCTGGCCAGGCTAGTCTTGAACTCTTGACCTCAGGTAATCCACCTGCCTTGGCCTTCCAAAGTGCTGGGATTGCAGGCATGAGCCACTGTGCCCGGCTGACATTGTGAATTTAGTAAGAATTATAAGGATATGTCTTGTGGAGTAATTTCTTAGTTATTACTGTTTTCCCCCTACTTGTTAACTTTGCAAACATTTCATCAGCACGTTTTATTCTGCAGTACTGTAGTCAGGTTGATTTTTGTTCTAGTTAATCCACTTTTACATATACAGTTGAACATTTTTTATTCTCTCTCTCTACCTTGATTTAGTCCTATTTGTTTTACCTACTACCTGGTACCCCAAACAGACTTTTGCAACTACTTTGACTGCATATTGAAATAACTTTCCTTAAAGAGTTGGGAGTCTTTTATCCTGCATCTAAATTTAAATGTACTGACTTAAGGAATAAGCTGATGAAGTCAGTTTCTCTTCTGGACACGGAAGCTGTTAGTTTTTGGAATTAGATTGGCTTATTGGAGTTTTGTTTGCTCAGTTTGGCTATGGTGATCTTTGGATAATTTGTAAGGCTAGCTGGTCATTTGATACTACTGTATGAAAGAAACTCTCATTAGAGTTTAAAGGGACCAGAAAACTTAGTCATCTTTAGGATATTACTAATTTCCTCCAAAGCACATAGATTTTACTTTAGAGAAAGCAGGTCTGTGAACTTGTGCTATGTAGTTAGTTTTCTTACAGACTAGGCCTAAGGCCAAGGTTGCTACTTTAGTGTCATCATTTTGCAACCCTGATTCCTGTTAAAAATTTTACTGGTTTCAGATTTTGACTATAAACTTGCCTGGGCCCTCAGCAACTTCTTATTAGCACATTCAGTGACCTGACTGCTGTACAACTTTTATCTGGTATGATATCTTCATAGGTTGTGTCTTAGCTTGGTCTCCTTTAACAAAATACCATGCCATTTATTTTTCCACAGTTATGGAGGCTGGAAGTTCAAGGTCAAGGTCTGGCAGGATTTGGGTTCTGGTGAGGACTCTTGCTAGCTTGAGTGGCTATCTTCTTGCAGTGTCTTCACGTGGCAGAGACAGCAATTTCTCTTTCTTCCTCTTATTACAGCCACTAATGGCATCGTAAGGACTAGCCTCATGACCTCATCTGAACCTAATTACCTCCCAGGGCTCCATCTCCAAATACTATTACATTGACTGTAGAGCTTCAGCATATGACTTTTGGGGATACATAGTTAAGACTGTGATAGGCTGAGACTGCCATTTTGTTTATACTTTTTAAAGACTGGTATTGATAACTTAAGGAATTGTGTAGTTTTTCCCTTGCCTGTGTCAGGTTTTCAGAAGCCAGTAGTTGAGCCAAGATAGTTTTCCCTTGGTATCCACTGGGGATTGGTCCTAGTACCCACAGATACCAAAATCCAAAGACACTTAAGTCCCTTATATACAATTGAGTAGTATTTGTATATAACCTCTGCACATTTTTATGTATAGTTTAAATCATCTTAGATTACTTATAACCCCTGATAAAATGTAAATGCTATTTCAACAGTTGTTATACTGTATTTTTAAAAATTTGTATTTTTTTTACTGTTGTATTTTTAAAATTTTACTTTCTTTGAATATTTTCTGCCTGTGATTGATTGCATTCACTGCTACAGAGGGAGGACTGTATGTGTTGGTGGTAGTGGCCTTTCCAGCAGGAATCTGAGAGGCACTGATGGAGCTGGGACAGTAAAACGTAGAAGAGTTGAGATTTGTGCAAGTTCTTTGTCCCCCACCCCACCCCCCACCCACCCTGAGGGTTTTTATGTTAATTTTTAATGTATTTGAGAAGAGGCACCACTGGCCAGTTACTTGATAATAGCCAGTGGATTGGTCAGACAATGACTTGAGATGAAGTAATCTTATTGACTGTGTATGCCTACATATTGTACTTTTTGCCTTTGTGAAAACACAGCATATTTTCAGTATTGTTCCAGGTAAAGTCTATATCAATATTTGAACAAAGAATTCTTTGTAAGAAAAAACAGTGTGAGGGTCAGAGGAAAAAAGGTTGTGTTTTGTTTTGTTTTTGTCTTTTGAAAATATTTTACCTCTCTCTGCTATAAATTTCTAAGCCCAATAATATATCACTTGAAATGATAGCAAGATGTTCTTTCACTTGGAGTTCTGAATAAGTCTATTGACACTTTCCTCAGTCATTCATATGCTTACAGTTGGCCCACATCATTTTTTTGAAACATATTTTTGATCTGACGATTTTCTAAATGTATCAGACTTCTTTCAGAGAATTACCACTTGGGCTAGGAGCCACGATTAAGACATTTTAATGATACTAGATTGTCAGACCGTTTTAATCTGGGCAGAAAGGTTAGTTCTATTAGGAGTCAGGATCTACTAGGGCCAAGCTCAGGAATCCAAACTTAAGAACACACCAGTGGGCATTATATTGTGAGCCATTTTTTAATCTCATGAATCCTTGTTCTTTGTTACAGGATAGCAGTTTGGGTCAGTGAGTAGCTTTTGGTGTCTTCAGGGCTTGTTCCTTTCTGTTCCCTAGTTCTAAGGAGAAGTAAAAACCAAAGGTAATGGGCATGATTGAGCCAGCACACATGTACTTTGGCTCAATCATGAAGGGAGTCATAAATAATCTCTTTGCCTGGAACCCCACGTAGCCATTATGTCCCTGTTTGTGAGGCTCACATTTGTGCACAATCTTTTTGTTAAGACCCACTGATAAGCAGCTTCCTCCACATTGGGTAAATCCATTAGTGGAGCAATCTTTCTGTATCAAGCATTCTGATTTCCTGAGTTAACAAAATACATGTTCCATTTACTCAGTGGAAAAGTTAGTATTCTGGCAAAACACAGGTTGCAATTCTGATTTAGTTTGTTATGCTTTTTCAAAAAATAACCTTTTCAAATATTTGAAAGGCTCTTTACATTTTAGTAAGCAATATAGTGATATTTTAAATTTATTTATAAAGCTAATTTAGGCAAGTATAATCCCTTTCCTAGAAAATCAGTCTGTTATGAAACCATTTTTGCCATTTAGCCCATACTTAAATACCATGTACGAATCATTGTACCAGGCTACAGGGCTTAAAAGTGAAAAAGACAGTGTGCCCTCTCCATTGGCAGACACCAACTTGGAAACAACTGTGGTTCACAGAATGATATGTGTCTGCTCATGAAGTGAATTCAAAGAATGATCTATGTCTGCACATGAACCATGTGAGCTTAGGCAAGCTGCTTGATTTTTTCAGGCCTGTTTTATCACTGTGACATAGAGTTTCCCTAGAGCAATACCTCCCAACTTTTA